CTCATTCAAAAACGTGAATACACAGTCAGGAATGCAACCCAAATAAGAACCTAAACTAGAAACAAAGTTAATGGGTACCTTGTCAATGATGGAAAGTTTTGCAGGATTCTCCATCAAACTGCAAGATCTTGCTTGAAAATTCTCTGAACTTTTGGTTTCCTAAACACAGAAAGAAATTGCAGCTTGTGGGTGAAAAAAAAGACAACCACTTTCACCAAATGGACACGAGTAACACACTCATAAGAAATACATACCGTAAGTCTTTTCTGTAGTTGAATTCCGTTATCCGAAGATCTTGCTTTACCGCCACGGATAAGAGCCTGTAACTTCACTATTCCCCTTATACACACATATGTAGCAACAGCTTGTCTTCTGACCAGGTGACCACGGATGACGGCTTGCAACTTGACGATACCTTTACAGGTTCCAAAATCCTTACGAGCCTTCACGATTCAGACACAACAGAGTTAGAAAACGATAAAACACAATACAAGAATCGCATATTTTTCGATCCTCAAGAATATAAAAGCACCTGATGAGCTCTGAAAGCAGCCTGAATCTTCGTTGCGGCATTTTCACGCTTCAGTTCTCCTCCTGAGTCAATTTGTGAACTCAGATCAATGTTGGAATCATCACCTTCATTGTCTTTCACAGACGAAACATTGATCCCATCGCTCGGTTGTTGTTCCGTGTCTGGTTTTTCCACAGTCTGAGCAGTAGTTGTCTGAAATGGGGATGAAACTACAGGAGGCTCGACGAGTAAGTTTGTGGCATCATCCTTCACAGATACAACCACCACCTCTTCTTTCTTGGCAGATTTCTTCATTGAAGAGCAGAGACACATAATTAGACATCCATCTGTTCAGATGTAATAAGGACAATATCAGCTCCATTTCTTACCGGTTTTACGTTTCCTTTAGCCAAGCTTGACTTGGATGATTTCTTCCCCAGGAAAGTCCTGAGCCATTTCCCAGGACTAAGAGTCTTTCCCATTTTAGAAAGCGAGAGACGCCGGCTGAACTAGAAAGTTGCTAAAACTAGAAAATCTGCATAAGAACACAGACGCCATGCCTTTAGAAGAGCTGCAACAGATTCCAATTCTCAAAAGTTTACAACAAAACAATAAAAGCCTAAAGCTTCGAACCAAAGATTAAGGTGGCAATATCTATAAACAAATTCATCGGTCTCTTTAGTTACACACGACTAGGAAGAACAAAAGTTTGTAAATTTCAACAGAAACACAACAAAAATAAAAAGCCCAAACGAAGGGAAATCAAGAAGTTGAAGAAGGAAGGGAAACATATTTCACAGATATCAATACCCAAATGCCGAAATCTGAAGACAGATCAAGCAGAAACCCTAGAAGCACATACAAACATAATCCACCAGCGAAATAAATCCAACTATCAAAAAAGTTAGAGTCTGGAAAAAAAAGAACAGAAAGAAAACACACCTCGTCGGTGCACGTAGAAAAGAGAAAGCAGGCATGAGGTAAAAAAGTAACGGAACCCAGACAACAAAACCCCACTAAATAAAGTGAAGAAAAAAGCAGAGATCTTGACAATAGCAGACCAGAACCATGAAGATTAAACAGACAAACAAGAGAGAAAGAAAGAAAAAATTTAGTAACATGTTGCAGCAGCTGGTGATTCCATCTGGGATTTGAGAAAATACAAGAAAAAAACACAACTTTCAAACAAAACAGAGCAACTGAAGCAACAAAAAAAGTTAAATTTCAAGCAAATCAAAGCTGAAGAAGACGAAGAACACGATTAACAGTGAATACCCAGATCTGGGTAAGAATCGAAGGAAACTTTTCCCCCCCTCGAAATGGCAAAAAGAAATCGAAACGTCAAATTCAAAGAGCCAATGTAGGTACCCAAGAAAAAAAAGCTGAAGCTTCAACTTTATTTTCCTCCCAACCAATTCGCTCCTTCTTCACAATGTTTGTCCTTTTTTAGCCCTCCACTAATCACAGTTGCAGGTGAGAATTACTCTCACCGGTACAAGAGAGAGCTAACGAATAGAAAAATACGAATGGACAAAATAATATTGGCCTAAAACGGCGCCGTTTTTGAGGATGAGTTGGCAAAAGTTTGCCTGAGCCTTATTAGTGGGCCCTGTATTGTTAAAGCCCAGTGGAAATGGAGATGGATTTACGGAAATACCCTTCTTAATTTCTATTTTAATATAAAAGTAAATACAGGCGGTCATTATCGAAGTGGTTAGTACTCTAATCCGAATTTTAAGGATTCCTTTGTTGTTCATTAGTTGCTAACAACAATATTATCTTTTTAACATATATAAAACATGGTTTCTCAATTTAAAAAGTGGGCCAGGGGAGTGGTTGAAGTGTCTGAATACCTTTTATTATGCAAAAGAAGCCAAATTAGAAGAATAAAATACAAAAGATAATAATAAAATAGTGACTAATCAGAATAGAGTTAAAAAAGTGGTAAAGTGAAAAGAACAAAGAACAAAAGGATAAAGCAATCTACAGTTCAAAATCAAAACGATGAAAGGAATCGCAACGTTTGAAAGGGAAAATAACAGCGCGTCGTCTCTTTCTCATTCGCAAAACGACACGCAGTTCTTAATCACGCCGACAACAAGTGAATAAAGCATGCATTTTTTTTTTAATCATGGAAACTAGTTGTTGACCCTAATCCTCGTAGCAAATGATCATAAGAGAGGTAGAAACAGTGATAATGAATGGGCAGAATCACAAGTATACCAAAGGGAAATGGACCGTTGGATTTCGAAAAACATATAACTGAGTTCTAAAAACACAAGAACGGGATTGACAGTTATGTTCGGAAAGAAGAGGTGGTAATAACTAGTCAGCAGTCCAGCTTTGCTCAACGATTTCTCGCACTTTCCGGTTGTAATCACGCTCGTTTTCTTTGAACATCCTTGCAGCTTCCGAGTTGGCCGGAGAATTCGGATTCGGGTCACAAAGCAACGACTGTTTTTTCCAGAATCACGTAAGAGTTTGGAGATTGCATTTTCATGGACTATCAGGGGATACATACATACATACCTGAATGGAGGTGAGTATAGCAGCTACATCATAGATTGGACTCCACTGGTTTTGTAGAATGTCCAAGCAGATACTCCCATTTGCATAAACTGCATATGCAACACATAAAGAAGCATGATTCAGAACCATAAGCTTACATACAGACAGAGGCAATGTCTTTTGTTGCATCTTCCAACTCACTGTTTGGATGGAACATCCTCGAAACAAAGCGGACAGTCGGTGGCGTATTCGGATAATCCTCTGCAAACTGAAGCGTGAGTTTGAAAGTACCTGACAGAATCGGAAGATCGAGTGATGAGAACAATACCGAGATGCCAAAAAATCGCAAGTTAATGCAATCCACCGGGGCGAAAACCTGAAGATGTAACATTACCTCCATCCCATGGGGTATCATCAGGCCTACATTTCCACAAACAGAAAGTGATACTGAATACAGAGATTGAATCCACAAGAGATGCGAGTAAGGAAACATCATCATATTGCGTTGATTCAATACCCGAATATAACGGCATTCCAGAGCATGATATTGTCATCTTGTGGAGCACTGCTTACGCCTGCAGGAGGATCCTGCTGCAACCTCTTGAAATCCCTCATCAGTCTCTTCCTCGACGGAGTCGACATCTTCCTCCCCCTTATGCCTATAGACCCAAATAAACATCAACATACCATCACTATACTCTGCTTGATTCTTTAGCAAACAAGTGAAAATCCAGAAAGTTCATTCTTTTGCGAAAGAAAGGTGGAATTGATCGACTGCTTGCGGATGCTAACATGTGAATTCGAATTTGCACGAGAATCACATCTACCGTGCCCTACCGAATCGAAATTCAAGTCAAACTCAACACGGTTCTCTTTTTATCGCCACGACCATATCAAAAGCACAAGAAGAAACACCTCAAAAGAAATCAAGAATCAAGCAAAGAAAACATCGGAGGAAAAGAGATCAGAAGAACAGAGAGAACAGAAGCGTCGTAGAGAGATCTCACCGGTGAACAAAAGCCGGGGATGAACGGCGAAGGTTCAAGAATCAGTCGGAAAGAGACGGCGATGACTGATCGCGGGCCAACAAAGAAGATCGAATCAAGTTCGCCGGCGACCCCTCGAGGATAAGAGCGAAATATTCGCGCTTCGTGTAACTTAGGCAAAAAGCTTCTAGAAACTTCTATCTCATTTTATACAGCTTTCAGTTAGATCCGATTCTCAGGCGCCAACCGTTAAACCGGAATAAACCGTTAGACCGGCTTTAACCGTTAGACGGACTTATAAACCGTTTTACACTGATGAACAAAGATCGATTGCTGTGTGCGATGAATGATGATCTCGTGAGACGCCGAATCTCGAATCTCTTGGTCGGTGGTTTTTACACAGGAAGCGGTGTTGTACACGCGCCGCCACAACGCCTCTGATTGCTCGCCTGAAAAGTTCACCTTCCCGCCTCTTCTCCTGAGAGGCGTCGTCAATGATCGAATTCGACAAGCCCAGATCATCAAAATCGGGTTTTTTTGGTCGACGTTTTTTGCTGACACAGCTCTCATGAATCATGATTATGCAAATGAAAGTGGAAAACGGCATTGATGCCCTTAAGGTGTTTGACGGAATGCCACAATAAAACATGGTAACTTGTGATTACAGAAGGTGTGAACAAAAATGCGAACAGAATCATATCAGCTCTTCCATTCCAATTACCAAACCCATGCTAAGATCTCAACCTATCATTTTCGGACATCGCCCACTCTTTTTCTTCTCCTTGTCAACTCATTCATTTGCAGAAACTCTACACACTTGCATTAAACGAGCCCCTTATGAAGGGCAGTTTCCCTGCAGGCAGATTCGTATTGATTCTGCGTGTCGGATATCCATCACCTGTTCCACTCGTAGTCTCCTCCATACCGAGGAGACGCGTTGTTAAGGCGGTTGCTATCATCTGGCCTTGTGGAGTTTACAAAAGCGTGCCAGCCTAGAAGGTAGGGCAAGATGAACTGCAATACAACAGTAAAGTGAGAGACATGCCATTGACATAGGG